CATATTGATGGGATTAATAAAACATAAATTATCCGCCATTTTGTAGCGGCGGCCATCTTGAATTTATAATGATAATGAATAAATATAATTGTATTGTCACCAAAATCCAAAGTGTATACAAAATTTCAGATTAATCGGTTGACAGGAAGAGGGTGAAATTTGAATTACTAAATTTGACCCAAGAATAAAACAAACGGGGTGAGCTAAATAAAACCGTTTAATAATAAGATGAAACTTTCGTTTTTTTTTTGGAAAAAACGCAAAATGAAACCTTTACTATTTCCACAAAAATTCAAATTAATGGTTATCCCTCAAGGACTTACTTATTTTTAGCATAAGTGACGACCGCAAAAATTTTGCCCGGTTTAAAATGCTTATTTTTCAAAGAAGTATGATTTAATAAAATCGATTTTTTTCATATTTTCATAAATTTCATTTTCTTTTGAAAATAACTTCAGAAATATTGGATATTAATAAAAATGGTAAATGACGATATTTCCGTTTTGATTATATTATTATGATATTAATAAGATTTTGGTTTTTATTTTATTTTTATAGAATGTAAAATAACCGAGATAGAGACGTTCAAAGCGTAACTTTTACTGCGAGACCCATGTAACCGTGGACCCTTTAATGCATTATCTTTTAAAAAATAAGGGCTTTAAACTGATTTTTGGTTTTTTCCAAAAAAATCGAAGCTGTGATCTTATTTTTATCATAACTTGCTCAATTTTGATGCTATTAAGTTTTTACAGTGCTCATTAGACAGGTATTTTTGAGGACCTTAACAAATGTTCTGTAAGTATATGTCATAAAATGCATCGGTTTCCCGTTATTTAGGTTTGAATACTTAGATTTAAGTACTCGTCGAAAAAAATGTGTATACAATAACCTATAGCTCACTTTGAATGAATTTTAGAAGGTTTTTCAAAGTATGGGTTTGTTGGATTTTTTATTATCTTCAATTGGTGAAAACCTTCATTGACTGGACTACACATAATTTGTTTAAGTACAAAATACTTCAGCAATATGTCTAATTGCGAACTTATTAAGATTTATTTTGTTAAATAAGACATTCATAAATATTTTTAATTGAAAACGCGTAAAATAAGTAGAGAAAGAACAGGTATGAAAATAAATAACTTTAAAATTTTGCTGGCCCCAAGGCCGCAAGGATACGCACAAAATTTTGGTGTTGTTGGGTCAAGGTCAATAGCCCCTAACCACTATATGCGGTTTGACTGCTACCTTTTGCTAACCTACCAAGAAAAAAAAATAGATTTTCTCCCATACTTTTTTTCGTAAATATTTTTTAAAAGTATGAAGGAGTCATTTTCTTGAAAAATAGTATCAAACAATATTAATCAGCATTTAATTTACTATTAATTACAATTATTTAATAGCTGAAATTTGCAACTTTGATCCTAAGTCCACTATTTTAAAAATACGGACCACTGTGCGCCGCCCAAACCAGACGACAAGCGAATCCCGTACCGGACACTGGTGTCGCCTGTACCATCGCCAACACAGGCACAGGTACAAACCCCAGCCCCATGCCGCGACAACCATCCAAGACGGGTTATCACCACCGCCGCCGCTGCACACCAGACTGCTTCACCGACGCAGTCGTACGCGCAGGCAGCGAAAAAATCCGCCCAGCCAGCTCCAGGCGCAGCTCCCACTAGCTCAAGGGAACGAAAGTACCCGCCACTGGTTATCGAGCAGCTGCCAGACTGGCCAACCCACATGCGGGCGTTGCATGACGCCCTTGGCTGAGCACCCAATGCGCGCTCGTTTGCCACGGGCGTACGATTTCGCAGCTGGATGGCAATGAGTACCGCCTCATCCAGGCCTACCTTTCCGAACTGGGAGTGAGGGTGGGCTGAGTTGGTACTCATATGCCCTCCTCGAAGACCACAGAATCAAGGTGGCCATTCAAGGGCTGCCCTACAACACCACGCCGCATCACGTCGCTGAGGCCCTGACATCCAAGGGCTTCGAGTGTTAATTTGCAAAACAGATCTGGGCGCGAACAGGCCGCCAAGTGTGCATCTACTACACCGCTCTCAAAAGAACACTAAACATCATCCCGAACATCTACGCGGTGAGCGAATTGACCGGGATCACCATCGAAGCATGGAGGGGCAAAAGGAGACCTGCGCAGTGCAATTGCTGCCAGGGCTTCAGACACTCCTCCAAGGGGTGCCACCGTGCTTGCCTGCGTGCGCTGCGGAGACCCACACGTCGCCGCCGACTGCCCACGCCCGCGTTCACAACCAGCTACCTGTGCGAACTGCAAGGGCCCGCACCCAGCCAACCACATTTGGTGTCCCGTCATCCGTCGGGAGACGCGAAACCGACAGGCATCAACAATGGCCAAAACAGGCCACCCACCCACAAAACCACCTCCACAACCAAGCGAAGTGAATGAGCATCCGCCGGCCACCCTAATGGCCCCGGTGAATGCCTCGCCCCCAAGAAGTGGCCTATCCCACCGACGCCGCAGAAGAAAAGGACGCCAAACGCAAAAAAAAACGCCGATCGACACGTCCGCCACCCAACCACCCAACGCAGCCACCACCAAGGAACAAAATCTGACGCCGACCCAACTCGATGCAATACATCAGCTGCTCCAGTTCTCGGAACAACGGACGGATTTCCTCAATAAGTTCGGGTAGTCCGAGGAAAGAACCTACCCTCGCACAACAGCACTCCCCCCTTACGCCAAAGTCCCCCGGTGGGCTTGACCACGCTGAGGGCGACGAAGATGAAGACGGACGCATACGGAAATGGCATCTGCAGATGCATCTGTAGACGTATAGTGGGGGCATTAGTGAGTGAAAGGGTAGGACATGACTGGCAGCTAGGGGGCACATATTCATAGTTCGCCTAGGGCTGTGAGAACTCTAAATGGCACTGAAACAGGTCAAAAAGAGAAGATTCTTTTTTAAGTCTATTAAAAAACCATCGATATCGGCTTATTATTAATACGAGCCAGGAATTTTCCTAGAGCGGCAAGGAAAATGAGGGACGCCAAAATTGACTTAATCCTATCTTCCAACCTAGCCATTAGCCATCACCCACACAGGTTGCATATTGAGAATTTTGCTACCTGAATAACCAACTTTAGGTTGGATAATGGGAATATTTATGTATAATATCTCAATGCGAAGACAGATGGTAGAGGAAACCCTGAATGAAAGATACCTCGACCTCTAACAATGTTGTGATGGGGGATTTTAACACTAAAGTAGGCGAGCGACAGACACCTGGGGCCCATTCGCCTAACGGAAATGCTTTGGAAAACGCTAACGCTTACTATTTCATTTTGTTCTTTCTAGCCGCCTGAGGTTTTCAAATGCCTCGCGCTCAGAAATAACAAAAAGAAATCGAAAGCGTTAGCGTTTTACAAAGCATTTCCGTTAGGCGAATGGCCCCCTGTTCCTAGTTGACAGTCGGCAAATTTGGTTATGAGCAGCAATAAAAAAAGCAGGTGGAACGAATTTAAAAATACCCATCAATCCGTACTGGTTCCGCGTGGCGAGTTATATCCCTATCCCAATCAAAAAAGGTCGGAAGGGGCCCAGAGCGGGATGAGTCCACTAGCCTAGTAAGCTGGTAGAAAGCATGTAGGATGTAATGATCACGAAGCTATTTATTAACATCCGCTACTGGTATATTCTATATTATAACGTCAATAAGAAACTTATCCTAGCATCTACCGATATGTAATTTTCACTTCAGTTACACTGTAAACGTCAAAAAAGTTTACCGTAAGTTCAGTCCAGTGCTGATTTGTCAAATTTCAGTTTAGGTTTAGAGAATCGACACCTATGTCTTCCATGCGACTGAGTGATGCCAAAATCATATTAACGCACAAACTATATAGTGATGCGATTAACGTGTCGTGAGTCGTGACGCATCAGTTTCATACATTTATTATGGGTTAGAAAGAGGGATAAGAGAGTCGACACGATACGTAAATATCTCTAACCATAGTAAAATAAATAAATAATAGTAAATTAATGAAACCGATGTGCTTCTGGCGCGCCACGATACGACACAATACGTTAATATGTTAATTGATAGATATTTGTACGCGGCTACGCGCGTGCGATAATCGTCACTCATCCCATAATCCCTATGCTACCGACAATTTACCGATTACTCAAGATTACAGGCGATGATGGGCACTTGAGGACGAATGCCCTCTACACAATCGAGCGTGTCTATAATCGCCCATCAAGGGCCATTGGGAAGACAGGCCATGAGAGTGCGACCGCGACCAAGATCTTGTGACGATTGAATGACATTGACAGTAGGGCGCTGCTGGTGAATAAGTGGTGAAATGAGGATTATATGAGAATACGAAAAATGTCCTCACTAAAGGGAACTTTATTATTTAAAGTAACACGAAACGAGGAAAAGGGAAATAAATAAGGCTTAGTTACAACTTCCTCTAGAAAGAAAAGGTTTATTTATACCTTTTTAAAATTAGTTCAGATTTCGACCACGCGCCACAAGTGCTTGGTCGCACTGTAGCTGCGGAAGTGCCGTTATGCCCAATAAGGCAATTCAGTATACTGAAGCAAAGAGTAGTTTAATATATTAGTGTCGATTCTGGCATGATTCTCTAAACCTAAACTTAAATTTGACAATAGTGGTGTCGATTCTAGCATGATTCTCTAAACCTAAACTTGAATTTGACAACAAGACAGTGTATCTTCGTCATTCTCTATTTGTTCTCTATACAGAGTTAAAAGGAGAGACTGATGTTAAATTTAGCTTTAAGTTTAAAAAATCTGGCCGGAATCGACACCAGTGTATCCTTATCAGTATCTATACAGAATAAAAAGGAGAGACTGATGTTAAATTTAGCTTTAAATTTAGAGAATCATACCAGAATTGACATCCTTGTATGGGCACTGTACCGTTTGCCTTCTCAGAACGGGTAAAGAAATTTAAAAAAAAACTATAATATACGGATTCTGTATTCTGTGGTATCTTTGTTTTGTTTGTTTGTTGTGAAGTGGAATTTATTGTGGAGTTGTGTTTTGTTGTGTGACAAAATCGACTAGTCCTATCACATCAGCAGGCTTTGTTGATTGTTATTAATTTCTCAGCCAATAAGTTATTAATATGTCAGGCTGTGACTCGCAGAAGCCGGAAGGCTCTAAGGATAATATTTCTACTAATTCTATTGACGAAGGCTTACCAAGAGAGCTCAGTCAGCTGAGTCTTTCTAGTGCATCAAGTCAAGATGAATTTTATTGTGATAAAGGACATTCCGAAGTAACCCTGAAAAATTTATTTCACTATTTCCAATCCCAAAAGTTATGCGACGTGGCTTTAATTGCAGGAGGGTGCAGGTAAGGTTTACAAATTTCAAATACTAAAACAGTATTTTGCAATGTGTATATTTATGTGCTGTGAAAGACAATAGCCATTGTTTCTTATTTTCAGTATTCCAGCTCACAAAATAATACTAGCCTCATGCAGTGAGTACTTTGCAGCAATGTTCACTGGATCCCTGAAAGAAGCACAGTTAACAGAAATAACTCTAGAACGTGTAGATTCACAAGCTCTCCAAGCTCTTGTGCGATACTGCTATACTGGAACAATAGGCAAGATGGATTCTTGTTGTTTTCTTGCTACTGCATGTTAACTAATGTAATAGTTAGTAGGTTTTCCTTACCACTTTTTGCTAATAATCACTTGTCTGATTTCTATATGTATTATAATTAATTAAAGAACTTAATATTATAGTTATGATTAACGTCTCTGTCCAATTACAATCACAAAATTTATCTAGAACTAAGAACAAGTGACACTGGCTGTATGTTCAGGGAGATGCATTTTCTCTAATAGAATTACGGGGAATCCAGATTAATGGCAGGCCTACTCAATAAGAACCAATAAAAAGACAGATGTATATAGAATTTCAGATTATATGCTATCAATTCAATATAATTTATAAATGAACTGTCTGCATCATTGTTGAAATGCATTATTAAAAATTCAAAAAGTAAGTGATTGCAAAAAAAATGGAAAAACTAATTCAATAAATTGTAATCAGATAACTATTAGCTATTAACTGTTAGCTATTTTTTGAAGTGTGCGCTTTCTTTGTTTTTCTAATTTCATAATTCAGCCATAATATGGTTGATGTAAAGATGATTGCAATGTAGTGACTTTTCCACATTTTAAACATAAGTTGGGTTGGGTATAAATTTGCATTGAATAAGTACTATCCAGTGAATATGAGTTTGATAAATGGAAGACCAAACTGAAGAGTGTTATTCCAAAAGAATTCTCCCCTTGGAACTGCTTATAATTGTAAGCCTAGCAGAGATTAAATAGGTACTAGCTAATAATTTGATTAGCTTTACAGCATATGTAATAGGGTATTACAACCATTTTTGAAAAGTGTCTCAATTAAATTCTAAAATGCTAATATCCTACTAACTACCATTTTTATTTATTCAACTGTTAAGTGCTTTAAATATGCATGTAAATTTATCTTTAGGGAGACCTTGTACTGAGAAGAACCGGCAAGAAACGCAGCAAGGGCTGTTTTTTTCTCCCTGTATTATTAAATACAGAGTCGTCAAGTTGAAAAATGATTTCAGAGATACGTCAGAAGTCACCTTCCATTACATCATTTAGAATATAAATATATAGTTACAATAAATTTTGTAGTTAACATTATATTTAGTATATAGGAAGTGGCGTTAGATAGGTACAATATTACTGTTATGAAAAAGACTAATACCCATTAAATAACAAATTATAAGAAACACTATGTCCATGCATTACGATCATTCAGATAATCATCAACATATTCATAAGAGTATTTTTGATATGAAATTTAAATTTAGTCAGTGGAAGCTCAATCAGATCTAGGGGAACTTTATTAAACAATGCAATACTACAACCCAGAAATGAACCTCTTGATTTTTGGAGTCTGAAACATGGAACGGCAAGCCTATTCTTAAATCTCGTGTTAAAGTTATGGGTTTGCCTTTTTTTGCAAGTGCATCATAGTATTTTTCTTACATATATTAAATTTTCATATATGTATTGCGACGCCAGTGTTAAAATATTAATTTCTTTAAATTTTTCTCTAAGTGATTCTCTTGCCTTTAAATTGTATATGGCGCAAACAGCTCTCTTTTGCAGTATAAAAATACTTTCGATATTAGCGGCTGAGCCCTACAACAAAAGGCCATATGACATAACACTATGAAAGTAACCAAAGTAAACTAATCTTGCCGTTTCCACATCAGTTAAGAGTCTTATTTTTTAACAGCGAAAGTTGCAGAGCTCAATCTACTTGACAAGGCATCAATATGAGGATCCCATTGCAGACGAGAGTCTAAAGTAATACCCAGAAACTTTGTAGAATCCACTAACTCTACAGGCTGGTCATTTATTTTTATACTAGTATTAACCTGCCTCACATTAGGTAGACTAAACTTAACGCATTTTGTTTTACTGGAGTTAAGTTTTAAATTATTTACCGTAAACCAGTGAAGGACTTCAGAGAGAGCAGTACTACGTTTACTTTGTCATAACAATCATTTCCTCTTCTAGCTTTAAACTGTAGTGGGATACTTTATATAATATTGTTGTAAACTTATCAATATTGAGTTATATAATAATTATAAAAGGTATCACAAAAGTTAGTAATCTTGTCCAAATCTGCCTGTATTGAGTTGCAGCCTTTAATATCTACAGCTGTAAAAACAAAAACTTGTGTCATAATTAGCAGAAATACTCTCAAAAATGCAAAGATTATGTCTAATATGCTAATCAAATTAATATCTTATATTAACAGAATGCCATCATAATCCATCATCTTCAACTGTTCATCTTGTATTTTTTTACAAAATCCCCTAATTCTATTCTTATTGGTGAAATACTTTATCAGCTAATTAGGTATTTACTGAATCATTAAAATATTAATATTGCAGAACTGAGAGAAGATACTGTGGAAGTACTTTTATCAACAGCAAGTTTGCTGCAGTTGAATACTGTCACTGATGCTTGTTGTGCTTTTTTAAAGAAGCAGCTTGATCCATGTAACTGTTTAGGGATTGCTTTGTTTGCTGAACAGCAATCTTGTATGACTTTACATAAGAGTGCTATGGAGTACACATATCAGCATTTTATGCAGGTAACTATTTGTGTAACAATAAATCTATACTGGAATTATAATGTACTAAGCACATATCATATAATATTTTAAAGGTAGTCTTTGTTTGTATGTATCATACAGGAAACAATTTTCTAAATATTGTTATAAAATATAGTTATAGAACACTGAAAATTTTCAAATTTAATTCTGCAAACTCAAAGATGTTCAATCAACATCAAGCTATGCTGAAATGTGCAGTGCTATGATCTTTTTAGTAGATTCACTCCTTTTGGATTATATTGCAGAACGGATATATTGCACAGAGTGCTGCTTTGTTTTGTATTAACATGAGCATAACATAGCTCAATGATGATTGGTAAGCCTTATGGATGCCCCTGTTTGAGAGATGAGTTTGTGTATGTCTCCTCTTCCCCACAAATTCAGCCCGCCCGCTCAACCAGCCATGGGAGTGGCTCAATTGCTGCTCCAGATAAGAGGGTGTCCCTACCTACTACAAACTTTACATCAGTGCTCCCTCGTCTGCTGCAACTACTTTTGTCGGATCCAGAGACTCCACGTTACCCCTGGCAGAGGCTCCTCTACTTTGCAGTTGGGGATACTCTGGAGCACCCGGGCGTCCCTCCAAACGGTGAGACTGCAATTAGGATGGCCGACCTCCCCAATCTGGTACCCGCTAAACTCGCCTGCTCAGTAACCTCTTCCGCCAGCATCGGAGAGGGCCGAAACGTGGGTTCGTCCTTTATACTGTAGTCCATGATCTGTCTGTCCCTGCCTGTCATTGCAGCACCAAAATGATATCCAATGGAGTCACCTCGATTCGTTATGCAGGGCAAATAACTGCCGAAGCATCCATGCCCCTACAGCACTTTCTCCACTGAGAAGGTTAGCAACCCGCACCAATCTTCCTCATCTTGCCAACCTAAACGCTATTTACTTTTTCTATGAGGAGCTCTGGTAACCTTACCCATTAAAGGTTCCTCTTACCAGGGGCGTTTTTACCCTATGGCCAAAAGGGGCCATGGCCCGGGGCGGCAGACTGCGAGGGGCAGCTGCAAGAACTGTTAGGGACGCCAAAAGCTTAATCTGTATCAAATCAAAAGCCATACATTGGCATCATTCAAAATACGACCCTGCCTCTTACACTAACTAATGATGATGACTAATTTTTTTTTCTTCGTTTGTCAGGTAGATTATCAAAAAGTATTGGACACGTATTTTTTCTTTTTTCACATAACATAAACATTGCAGAGATATATTGATTTGAAAAGTCGCATGACGTCACGTTTGAGTACACTTATAAGTGAAAATTCACTCAAAAGTGACGTCACGAGCCCCTACTCCCAAACTTTGACGCGCTATAACTTGGTCATTTTTTGGTTGATTGCCCAAAGAAAAAATACGTGTCCATTATTTTTTGATCATCTAACTGACGGACTAAATAGAATTTCGTTTACTGTACCCCGTCATCACCCCTGCTCTACTTACGCAGTGTTTTGTTCACATAACCCAAATAAAATCTTGTAATTATTTGAATAGAGACAAAACATTGTAATTAACCTCATCTCAGTCAGGCAGCAAATAACGCGCAGTAGTAATTTTCAAATGCACAATTGGTGTTATTTGGAGACTTCAATGCTCACCAACATCACAGTCTGTTGTTGGGTTCCTCCAAAACTGCAGGGCCCCTCACTTCAACCTTTGAGATGTCCAAACGGCTCACTAGCTCATAAGCCGAAAGAGAAAACTGATTTACTGGCAAAACTTTGCTTTACCTCATTGTGGCACTACGATGCCTGATGTTAAAATAAGACAGCCTGAGGTTCGTGCGGAATTGCAATCACTTTACATCTAGAAAGCTACTGGACTACACCCGATGGCAGCCCAGCAGTTATGCTAAAAAAATGAGCAGACGAGTTGTCTCCCATGTTCACGCGCTTGTACCAACTCTCATTCTCTGTGGGCTGTGTGCTGGAAACTGCGAGGGATGCAAATGTGCACCTAATGCCCAAAAAAGGTCACCGCTCAGACCCGGCCAACTATCGACCAGTAGCAGTCATCTGAGTATTGTATGAAATCCTAGAAAAGGTCCTAAACAACCATCTGACCTGCTACATAGAGAATCACTCCCTGATTAATGATCCTCAATACGACTTTAGATCTAAACAATCGACTTTTTGACTATCAGCCTAGCATCACCAAGGCTTTCGACTGGTGATGCGTAGGCTGGTCTGGCACAAAAGACTCCGACAAAAGGTCTGCCTGCTCAATTCAGTTCCTGGGTAGCTGACTTCTTTTGCGGGAGTCTGTGTGTCTCACCAGGGGGAGTGAGGCTCCCCAGAGGAATATACCCCTTATACACCAGGGCATCTTCATCTGGAGGAGTCCGTTCGTGGCAATCACCGGCGGGTATATGGCCACTTGCCTAGTCCTAACGGGGTGCTACAACTATCCCCACACTCTCGACATGCACACGGAGGACCTTGGTACTCAGGGTGCGTATAGGGTGACCAGTGCAGGAGTATTGTCTGATTTTTTTTGGGTGGGGCCCTGTAATTTCAGCACAGCCCACGAGCTGGATCAAATGACAGGTAAGAACCCTCAGAGACCCTCAGACCATTCTCCCGGGTGGGCAAGGGGTGCGTTCACGCATTTCCAAAACTAAAAAAAACTGACTTCTTTCATGAACGTAGAATTATTGTCCCTGCATGTAGGTGGGTAGTAGTTCGCGGTTCAAGTCAGTGAATGCCGGCGTGAATGATTTGATTCCTCCTGGAAATAATCATTATTAAGCAGACATTAGGGTGATATATCGGACACGCAACGGCTGGATGGGTAGACAGAGACATCAAGGAGAAACGGGTAAACATTAAGGAAGTTTGTTCCTCAGATAGTATCTCAATTTTAGCAGAACATCAAATCCCCATCTCTCCTATGAAGTTGTAAACTTTTGTGAAAAAAATATCTTTAATTTAACATATAAACAGTGAATGTTGTCTCTTTCAGGTTGTGAAACAGCAGGAATTTTTATCACTTCAAGCAGAGCAATTAGCTAGTTTGCTTAAATCAGATGATCTGAATGTCATTAGTGAAGAAAATGTGTTCGAAAGTTTAATGATATGGGTTCAACATGAAATTGCCAACCGAGAACAACATTTGGCTACTTTACTTAAACTGGTCAAGTTACCATTACTTTCATCAGAGGTAAGACTAGCTTTCTTTTTAAGGGTGTATTTGCATTGAGAAATGGTGGGTTGGAGGATCGTACGTATGAATTAACCAACGAAGATGCCCGAAACAGACTTTCAAGTAATAAAGTAACAAAATTAAAATTAACAATTGTTATACATTTACATCCTCCTCCATTATTGTATGTTTTATTTCAATTTTTAGTTTCTAATTGACATAGTTGAGCAAGCCTGTGGTAATATGCCCGAGTGCCAACCTTTGATAATGGAAGCGGTAAAATGGCACCTCCTTCCTGAACGTCGAGCTCTTCTCTTCTCACATAGAACACGGCCAAGAACTTCTACTATTGGACGCCTTTTGGCTATTGGTGGTATGGATGGCTATAAGGTAAAGTAACTAATTATGCTTTCTGAACTATCAAATGATTCATACTGCTTTAGGAAGTAATTTGTTTTTTATATGGTTTTTGTCTTTATTATAATTTAGTGCTTGATTTAGGGTGCAAGTAATATGGAGATGTATGACCCTCGCACAAATTCATGGACACCTTATATGAGAATGAGTGCGAGAAGACTTCAATTTGGTGTTGCAGTGATGCAAAATAAACTCGTAGTTGTGGGAGGGCGAGATGGACTAAAAACATTGAATACGGTAATGTATTATTTCACAGTGCATATTTTTTTGGTGTGTCCACACATGGCCTTGATGGAGTGGCGTTGCCAGTTCTTTTTTTCTCAGTTAGAAGTTTAAACATACCTTAGACACAGCGGAAATTTTTTCAGATCATGATACAAAGTGTCCCCACTGCTGAGGGGCTTCCCTCTGAATGAATACATATATTGGGCCCACCCAGCACGCGGATTACAATTGCAGATTTGTAGGTGCTGACTACTTCATATGCAGCCAAGACCAACGGCTAAAGCGCGTATTCCACCTGACTAAAATCACACGTGCTAAATCATGCAGTAACTAATTCAGTCAAGTGAAATAGCGTTTAGGAAGTTAAGATCCTAATTAGCATCCAAAATCGGAAGAAGTGTGGCTTCTGACTGACTAAATCATTTAGTATCCTAATTAGAAAGCGATTAAGGAACGTGTGAGGCATTGTCCTAATACAACGCGATAACGCGAATGAGCGATGCGATCATCGTACGAGTCGACGATCAAACATATTGATCTAGAATAGGTGTCCTAATAGGCGATCGCGCGATGCATTCGCGCGACTAAAATCTTTAAAAATCTATTCGCGCGAACGCGCAATCAAACCTATTAATGATGAATAGGTGTCCTAACTGAAGTTCGCGCGATGATCGCGTCGCGTCGATAGGAAGCGGGGAGAGGGGCAGGGCTAACCCGTTCCGTATTCGCGTTCTATTAGGACACACAGTTCCGAACACGCGACGGTCGCGTCGTATAAACGCGCGATGATCGCGTTATCGCGTTGTATTAGGACAATGCCTGATAGGGTTCAGATGCTTCAGTCGCACAGCTGGCGTCACTGCATGAAGACGTTATTGTGTCTACGATTACGAATTCCGCGAGTGTGCGATATCGGCGGCAAAAGAAAAAAAAGTTATGAGTAACAAAATCCAATTGTATAAAGATATGCCGTATATCAGAACAAACACGAAAAAATTACATTAATAATATTCTTTTATCCACGTTTTTCGTTTTTTACTTCCTTTAGGCCTACGAGAAGACCGATTTTTTGTTGCTTATAGCACCGGAGCCATCACGAAAAAATCCGACTGAATTCGCCGCGCGCTTGCAACTGACTGAATCAGTCAAGTGTAATCAGAATCTTCTAATAAGTTTACTTTTTTGGATCCTAACTAGGACGTCTGAATTTAGTCAGGTGGAATACGTGCCTTTCTCAGCACCCAATTTTTTTTCGCTGTGGTAAAAATGCGTGTCGCGTGGCAGTTAAAGCGGTTATGTGGGACTATTAAGTTTAAGACACAATTTTTTTAGTATGTTTTTAGGTTATTGGGCAGTTAATATTAATACATATAATTTTTATGTAACGATTTGTTCATTTGTAAGTGTAAACAAAGTTTCAGTTATCATCCGTTTCATGTTTGTTTCATTATTTTGGTTTATAATGTACTATGTATTCGGCTTTACGGATTCGTACTCTGGCTATGTCGTTACTATTAAAAAAAATTTGGCCTCTCCTCCGTGGACCGCCATCCAACGGAATTCCATTCAATGAGTCCTCGGAGGCCTACTCACTAAAAACCATACTGTACAACCTCAGTTGGAAGTGTTACCCGAGAAACCATTTCCGCATCTCCTAACCATCCACTCGTAGCCTTACGCTTGGCAGGCGGGAGAAGTACCCATACTATGATCAGCCGTTACGGAAGTAGCTTAACTTAAATGATCCCAGACGTAGACCGAACTCACTTATCACTTGCGCCAAAGAGCCACGAAATCAAAAAATGGCATAAAATTATAGATGGCGTAAAAGTATGGTAAAATTGTAGCGCTAATTGATGAAGGAAGTTCGCAAACATCTGCCAATTCTAAAGACCAAGGCAACGATTTAGAAATGATATGGAAGCATAACTCTAACAAACGCAGCTAAAACATGGTTCCAAAAAACTCATACTACGACGCACACACAGACAAAACATATAATAATAGTTTGCCGAATCAAATCTCTGCAAATCAATTCGGTTACCCATTCATTGAGTAAGATAATGTTATCACGATTTCTATCGCGTGTAACTGTCAAACTCCATAGTAATTTGACATTTGAGCGTGATAAAAACGAGCTTTATATCATATCGCGGTGCTCATGCTAGAGGGGCAGGGCGACCTTTTACTATCATACCGATCGTCATCGGCAGTTAAACGCATTAATAAGGATCGACGTTTTCTGCAAAGACATAGGTAACGCTATGTGGATGCTGTGTTTCGATTAAATCACACATTATTAAGAAGGCACCGAAAATTTTGATCATCACATCAATAAATAAATATATGTAGTACTAGCTGTGCCCCGCGGTGTTACCTGCCCGTTAATTAGGGATATTTTCCCGCAATAAAACGTAGCCTATGTGTTAATCCAGGGTGACAGCTATGTACCTACCAAATTTTATTAAAATCACTCCAGCCGTTTAGACGTGAAAAAGTAACAAACATACACACTCACAAACTTTCGCCTTTATAATATTAGTGTGATTAGTGTGATAGTGTGATATGTTATTCTTCTAATAAGTACTTTTTTTACGAAATCCGTTCTGCTTTTCTATCCCGGCGGTGTGTGGATCCACTGTTACAATATACAAAATTAGGTATAATTAACATCCAGCATATTTATATGTTTATGTGTTATTAGGTTGAATGCTTTGATCTCACATCTCTGAGCTGGAACACATTAGCTCCTATGAATACTCATCGCCATGGTTTAGGTGTTGCCGTTTTGGGCGATGGACCAAACTCGCCTATTTATGCAGTCGGTGGGCATGATGGATGGATATACTTAAATTCTGTGGAACGGTGAGACACCAAAATACTGCTTTGTTTTTTATTATTTTTAGTTTGCATTCAAGTAAATATTATACACTAGAGCAATTTGTCGAGCATTTCTATGTAATGTAATGATGTTACGAATGGTACAATACGGGTAAAACCTCAGTTTTCAAAGCAATTTGGCTCGTGAAAGGGTGATTCACTAGGATATGTTCTAGAGCGGCTCGTTGTTCTGTTATAAGCAAATACTCAAGTGTATACTCAAATTTCGATCATGAAAGTTTATAGGAGAATAAGCTTGATCAGTTATCGCCTAAAAGTGAAATGCAGCTATTTTGTTGATTTATTGCAAGCCAAGTAAGTATCATTTGGTTTTATCTTAATATTATATCACTAGCGGCCACCCGCGACTTCGTACGCGTGGAGTTAGTTAGAAATAAAGGTTCACTGCTCGTTCCCCGTAGGTGAAAGCGTGATAATATGTAACCTATATGTTGACCCGACTTCTTAGTAATATCCGTGCTAAATTTGAAGTTATTCCATGCAGTACTTTTTGAGTTTAACCCGGACATACATAAAGGAAAAGCTACATGGGAAGATATAAATAATAAAAACACAAAATACCCGAATAAAAGGGTACACAAAGGAATAGTAAATAGTAAAATAGTATCAAATCCCCAAGACATTGCTGAAAATTTCAATGACCACTTCATTGATGGAGCTAAAGCAAATAGCACTAAAAGTAATTTTACATTTGAATCTAGAAGTTTAAATTCTATTTTCATCCCACCACCTCGGAAAGTGTAATTTTGCGCTTCGAAATCTGGCTGGAAAATTCTATTTTATTCGCTTGAGCGGCAAAGTAGATTTGAATTTAGAACATCACATATAATGAGTACTCAATATAATTGTAAATTCAAAACGTCATTAAACCTATTTAATGTAACCTCTATGGTGCCAAATTTATGATTAGAACTTTTTAAATTGTGAAAAAATTTAAATTTGGAACCTTCTTGGTTTCTTTGTTTTATTTGCGTGCTTCGCGCCATTCTAGTTTTTCACGTTTTATTGCTTAAATATTTTGTCATTATAAATTGTTTTCTTTTTCATTTTGTCATTTCCTCGCTGAGGTGGGATGAAAAGTTACGTATTGCACTCGAGTGGAAAGATTTTTCACCTTGTGCTCGTTTGTTTCCCTCGCTGACGCTCAGGATTCTAATTTAGAATCACTCGCTGCGCTCGTGATTCAACTTTAGAATCCTTCGCTTGCTCGGTCATCCAAATCGAGCACGCGGTTAAAAAGGAACTTTCCACTCTTGTATAATAAATAACTATTATATGAATCCTACAGCTCCTATTGACATATATAAAAAATAATACTTTCGTTGAAAAATAAAAAGAGTGTAGGTTATGATGAAATTGCGACAATGGTAATAAAAGATGTGGCTAGTTTTATTTCACCAGTGCTAAGCCATATTATTAATAAATGTATAGAATACGGTGTATTTACAAATAAATTAAAAATTACTATTGTAAAACCGTTATTTAAAAAAGAAGATAAAACCAACATGAATTTTTACAGACCCGTGGCACTATTCCTAATAATTGCAAAAGTTTTTGAAAAAGTTATTTACAATTGCCTTTACCAATTTATGAATCAAATAGTATTCTAGTAGATGAACAATATGGGTTTAGACAAAATAAGTCTGTAAATATGGCAATCTATAATTTTCTTTCAAAAGTTACAGGTAATGTTGATAAAAAAAATACATATAGCAGCATTGTTTATGGATATGACAAAGGCATTCGATGCAGTTGATCATAAGATTTTATTGAAAAAAAATGTACTGTTACGGCGTTAGAGGCAGAGTACACGATCTTGTAAATTCGTACTTGATAGGAAGCAAGAAATCAACAGAAATAACTAGAATAGATAACAAGACGAAGATTGAAAAAGCATATCGATCAAATTTCAGGACTGGTACCAATGGAGTTCCACAAGGAAGCGTACTAGGTTCTTTGTTTTTTCTAGCTTAAATTAATGATTTTACCTCAGTATTAAACCATCAGGTTACTTTATTTGCTGACGATAGTACTGCTGTTTTTAAAAAAAATAATTTAATTAATCTTGAAAATGACATAAGTAATTCTTTGACATGTGTAATTAATTGGCTCAATGATATTAATTTATTAATTACTTTGGACAAAACTAAAATAATGTATTTTAAGCAAAACTAAAGATTTTGCATTAAATAGTAATTATGATGGTAAAAAAATTGGTGAAATGGAAGTGACAAATTTCTTAGGGCTGCTCCTATGAGCAGCATGAGTCTATACTCTAGACTAAAATGGAAATATCATGTTGATCACGTATGTTCTAAGCTGAGTCAGTTTTCCAATGCTTTATATAACTTACGGAAAGTGGCTAATGAGTCGACTTTGTGGACAACGTATTATGGGAAAGCAGCGTCGACATAACGATATGGATTGATCTTTTGGGGAAATTCTACTGACGCAACCACTGCATTCAGGGCGCAAAAGAGATGCATCAGAACTATGTTTAATCTACCACCTACATAATAATGTGCAACGTTTTTTAAGAGGTTAAAAATATTGACTCTGCCGTGCCTTTACATTTTTGAATGCGCTGTCTTTGTAAAAAATCGTGAACGTCATATTGGAAAACTTTGTGTAGTCCCCTGTAACGGCAAAGGCCTTTATTTAGGAAAAGTGTGTTTTGCAGTGCTCCTTATATTTATAGTAAATTACCTGAAAGTGTGCGAGAAATTACCGTGACCAATATATTTAAAAACAAATTACAATACTTTTTAATAGAAAAATGTTACTATACGGTCTGTGAATTTTTGGAAGACAAAAGTTTTTAGACTGAGTATAGGAATAATAATAACATGCATGAAATAATTACAATCTTAAATTTATTGTCATTTTGAATAAACTCTATTAAATTTATTAATATGACATTGAAATAATTAATGATTTATTAGTAGTTTATGATACTGTTGCATAATAAGGGTTCTTATAACATGAGTTTTATAAGACCAAGGTATGTACAGGGTCATACACTACTTTATCTACTCTCATACTATATTACGTAAAACAATATTGCAAATAAAACGCTGAATATAACAACAAAATTATTTTTACTTGTAATAATTATTGATGTTCTGAATATTACAATTATGAAACTGAATTTGAACCGGACAGGAAGCGTTATTGGAGGTACTCAGAGAGGGTATGTTAATGTTGACCTCATTTCTGTTATTTTCAATACTGTTAAGTATTGAATTGGATACAGCGATCTTTTTAGTCATTGAATCATCTATATAGCCTTCTGCAACTGTCGTTGACTTCCAGCCACCGTGTTGCTTTAGTGCCGTTATATCTCCACCAGCGTCAACTAGCAAGGTCGCAGATGTTTGGCGAAAGCAGTGTCCTGTGTACAATTCGGGGTCGGTAAGTTGAAGATAGCTGGCAATAACTTCATTTCCGTGCATTTTCCGGCAATATAGTTTAGAAAAAAACTGGGATTGCTGCACTCAGTTGGTCGTAGCTCTATGTATTTTTTGCATTGTTCATAATATTTCCCAGTAGGGGAAGGGGGGGGCATGACGGGGTAGCGAGGTAAGATGGGGTACCGCACAAATAGAAGAAACTAGACGTCTGTGAATATAAAACAATAAGCCAATAGGAAGCCTCATTCAACAAACGGTTAGTGCGAGAGAAACTGTGAACGGTAATGCACGCGTCTTTTTTTAACAAACGGAAAACTGGTTTAGCGTTTCGTCGATCTAATTTTTTGTAAGTTGAAACATCATTTTTTAAGGTAATTATGATCACCCCATTTATGTCTTTTTGATTTTTGGTTACTAGTGTTATGTATTTTGATATGGTATGTTGTTTGTAGCAATCCGTTAAACATTTTATTTGATATTTGTTTTTCTGTTCAGAGAGGCCTTATGAGGCAAGATGGGGTATTGGGTGTGGGGTATGATGGGACATTGGGGCAAAATGGGGTTGTGGGTAACCATCATGCCCCATAGTATGGGGCAAGATGGTTTTTCATAATGTTTCTATTAATTATTAATTATAAAAATATGTCATACGTTGATTCTCCAAAGACTGTACCAAATGATAGTTAGATTAATGACTTAACGTGCCATAAATTAATGAGAGTAATAAACATAGTGATTGTGCTGTAATTTTGTTATTTCCCTTAGCTACCCCATCATGCCCCCCCTTCCCCTAACGGTAAAAGAGCGGTCCGTCTTGGTTTTAGTTTTACTTATTTTGATCAATAGTGTAGTTTCGAAGACTTCAACATCTTTGAATTGTATGTTGTATAATTCTTGCCCGACGGCAACGCAAGCACCCATTATACCAAAACTTAGTGCAATCTAACAACTCATATATATATATATACCGTAATATATATATTAACCCAATATTAACAAAAAAAATGTTCATGGTTAACTGATAAACAACTAAAATACCTTTGTGAAGAGATATAATGTGTCTGCGGCTTCATTTAAGAACTTATTTATCTGCTCTGCTGTAAAAGTCTTGGACTTTTTCCCCTTATATCCTTGTGAGTTTCGTTTCAAAAATGCAATCAGCTTGCTATATTTAGTTATGTCAACTTCGTTGTAAATATTGAGTGTACTTTTAATCATGGAGTATTTAACCCACATACTTGACTCTTTATATTTTTCAGATAACTCTTGAAAGTACGCTAACAACACATTTTCAGAAAATGATGTAGCATTTTTATTCATTTTCCATTCCATGAATTCGTGGTAACATTTATTATAGTTGCTCCTAGATTTTGCCGGCAACAGGTTCATGGTCATGTTTGACGCAACTTCCAGAATGTCTGGTGGTGTACAATCACCACTATCCCCGCTTTCAGACTTGTTTTTACACAAAAACTTGTGTATTTTACAAACAAAACCAAACGTTGTTTAAATATTGAAAAGATTTTTTTATTGTCAAATGTTGGCGCCAAGGTGCAAACTTCGATTACGCATGCGTGTTGCGTCGTCGCGGACTCGTTCATTGCAACCTTTTTAAAGTAGAGGTTCAACCTCCTTGGTCCAGCTGGAGGTTGTATAGGTGTATCGTTATGATTAAAAAGTTATATTTTGTTACAGGTGTCCATACAAGACCTGTATCGTAATTAAACTTTTTTCTTATTATTTTTGGCCTGTACGTAATGTTTGTCATAAGCATTTTGTTTTCAGTTTTAGAATCTTTGTATTATAGTATCAGAGTAGATAAAGAAATATTATATGCATGCCGATAAGGCAGAATATGGCTGTACTGTACTAAAATGTATCTGTGTAACAACTTTGTAACCTATATTCGCAATAAAGATGATTTGATTTGAGACAAACAGACAAAAATTCTAAAAACTATATTTTTGGCTTTGGTATCGATTGTAGATCACACCCCAAGGATTCTTTCAACAAAATATTCAATGTAAAGTTTTTACTTTCCTACCATTTTATCATTATTATATAATAAAACTAAGTTTATAACATGTGCGTGCCGATAAAACTTGAAAAGGAGTCCCGGTACGATAAAGGGACTTATATAGTGTGATAGCCCTTTATCCCCCCTCGAACAAGAAAGTTCTTATGATGTTTTTGAAGTCCTCGATTATATTCAGCGATAACTAAAAAGTAAAAAATTAATTTAAAGTTTAAAACTTTTTATAATCAAACGTTTATTTAAATGCGCTAAAAAGAAAATTTTGCTGAGAATGAGTCAAGTGACGCTGAAGAACACATTAAAGGTAATGTAACATTTCATAAAAATATATTATTTTAATAATATTTAATTTGCATCAATAATATACCGTAAGTTTTCATACTACGACTCTTACTCGCACTGCCGCAGCATTTTTCCCTTCGCCTGGCAAGAACTTGTGCTAGCCAGAACCGCCTGGCATTCAACCTACTTACTTTAAATCGCTTAAACAAACACATATATAAATTTCAACTTTACAGAATTTTATTTATGTTATGAAAGTTTATTTTATGTATATATTACACACCTTCCGGTTCGCCTGGCGGGTACTTGTGCTCATCGTAAACGCCTGGCAATTTTTTAAATTTAAAATGAATAATCTAAATTGTATAGAAATTTCAAGCTTAGAGCAACAACTTTTTTTAAAATATTTTTTTGACACTCAAAAATATACGGCTTGATGACGTGCAGGGCTGAGGAGTGCCAGACGATGCTTACACCATAAGAATTTCTAGCCTTACAGACAGACCGTTACTCGGAGGATTCAGTAGCTCTAGGTCTATCTTCTGAATTGCCATTTCAATTTAAAAAATTGCAGTTTCCAATTTAATTAGCCTTTAGTTTTACAATTAACAAAGCGCAAGGGCAAACTTTAAAATATTGTGCCATCAACCTCAAAGAATCTTGCTTCTCTCATGGTCAGCTATATGTAGCTTGCTCAAGAGAAAGAATTCGAAAAATTTATATATATATATACCCCAGACAATAAAATGAAAATGTTGTTTATGAACAAGTAGTGTAAATAATGAAAAAATGTTTCATTTTTTTTTTTTTACTTTTTGTCATATTTTTTTTTTATTTCAACTACCACGTAATCTCATATCAACACCCGAGCGAAGCCGGGTATCATAACTAGTTATATGTATAGATTAAATGTTTAAGAATGGCATATATTCAATGATAATCAAAATATAGTAATTGAACCCCCAAAAAAACAAATTGGTTACCTAACCTTTAGGTTACTAATATGTAGTATGTTTTAGGTGTTCATTTCTTATTTTTTAATTCATTTAAATATTTCACTTTAAAATTTATGTAGTTTATTGGTATAGTTGGGACGCGTGCTCTCGCACGTGGACCATCGTGTCGCCGATGACGGGCGCTCGCAGCACATGCGGCGTGGCTGCCCTCCGCGGACGGTTGTACGCGGTGGGCGGGCGGGACGGGGCCGCGTGCCTGCGCTCCGTGGAGTGCTACGACCCCGCCACCAACCACTGGAGCAACTGCGCGCCCATGACCCGGCGTCGCGGCGGCGTCAGCGTGAGTACTTTATACTCAGCACATGCGGTGTGGCTGCCCTCTGCGGGCGGTTGTACGCTGTGGGCGGGCGGGACGGGGCCGCGTGTCTGCGCTCCGTGGAGTGCTACGACCCCGCCACCAACCACTGGAGCAACTGCGAGCCCATGACCCGGCAACGCGGCGGCGTCAGCATGAGTACTTTATACTCAGCACGTGCGGCGTGGCTGCCCTCCGCGGGCGGTTGTACGGGGTGGGCGGGCGGTACGGGATCGCGTGCCTGCGCTCCGTGGAGTGCTACGACCCCGCCACCAGCCATTGAAGCAACTGCGCGCACATGACCCGGCGTCGCGGCGGTGTCAGCGTGAGTACTTTATACTCAGCACATGCGGTTGGGCTGCCGTTTTTATGCCCAAATTTTGCCTACGGGACGGTCCGAAATTATATGCCAGTTCTCGCTTCACAGATTTTTATTCACCAAACAGTTAAGACAATGTTTATCATAATACACTCACTAAACACTGTACTTCACTATACTATACAAGTCTTGAAATAATCGCACTTTACTTGCACTTTGATCGCCTTTGTATTCGTTCTGAAATCGCTGTTATACCGGTTATACACCTTTAGAGAAGAGATTGATAAATAGAAAGTTTTTTTTCTAGTAAACTTTTCTTTAGATTTAAACATATAGCAGTTAAATGCTTAAAAATAAATAAAATGGGTGCGTGTACTTATGTAGGCGCGTGAGAAGTTATCCTTCTTTGGCATCGTTTAAAATTAGTTTTTAATTGCATGCAAATAATTAATTACAATAAATTAATAAAAAGTCTGGAAAAGGACACAGTCAATAAAGTTCAGTTTTAATTTGAAAAAATAAATAAATAATCAAAATATTTAATTAAAATCGCTACTGAATATAATTTATTAGAACATATGTGATTTGCACTTGTATGAAACTCAAACACGTATTCCGAATATACAAACTAGAAACATGTGGATAAATATTATAAATATGAATACCTATAACTGTTACTTTATTACAAAAAATAAAGATGTGGTTTTTGGTTCTACTACACCAATGGTCAAGAGATGGCGCTGTAGTCTCCTGAATCGCGCTTTGGTTCCGTTGTTCCAGATTAATAAATACTTTTTGTTACTTTATTACAAAAAATAAAGATTTGGTTTTTGGTTCCGTTGTTCCAGATTAATAAATACTTTTGATAGGCCTTCACAATGCAGTCGTTAGCACCCACAAAATAGAGATTCTATTTCTATTTTGTTGGTAGATTTTCTTAATGTGCGGTAAACACAAAAGTAACAGCATGAAGGTAACAGGTGAAGGCTAAAGCGACCAACTTCATGCTGTTAATTTTTTGTGTTACAGTGATGCGCGCGGATCTTAAAATTTCACTCTCATCATTTTTTCATAACGCGCCTAAAGAAATATAACTTCAAAAACATAAATAGAAAGTCACTTGAAACAATTACTTAAAAGTTTACTAAACCCGTACATGCTCCCGGGGGAGAGAAAAATGCAGTGGTATGCAATAGAAATTAATGGAAAATTATAGCTATTATTAGTAAAGTGCAAAGTAAAGATAATGTAGTGAAATGCTTAACAAGATGAAAGAACAATAAGTTGTTAGTACATAATAATAAATTAATTAGATTGTCTAAAATGAGTGCTGAAATTTGGCACTGGTGTGGTATTAAACCGAATTTGGCAATTTTTTGTATTTTCACTACCACTAGGCCCTTCAGAATTTATTTCACTGTAATTGGTTGAATTAGATACGCACTTTTTAAAACTAACACACTGTACACCGGCACTAGCACTATGTGTAGCGTCTATGTCGCTACGCGTTGAGGCGGTGGCTCGACCATGCGAGCTCGTCAACGATGGCTGCTCCCAGCAACACATAGATGGCGACGTACTGGTGAACGTCTTGGTATGAGACGACATCTGCCACACCAGGCTTAGATTTTATTTCTCTAATCTGGTCTCCGAGTTGCTTTAGATCCTTTTTAAACCACTAGGAGTCATGGGAGAGCCAGGGATAATGACAGTTATTATATTATTTATAGGCGGAATGTCTGGCGTCAAGATGTCTGGTTTTGTTTATATTATTGCTTATGCGCCATTATATCGGTCGGATATGAGTTGATCACACATTATTCTTATAAGACTTTCATGAAAACAGGAGAAAAGGTAAGTATTCGTCCTTTGAAGCTGAGACCATGGCTGAGCACCCGGAACAATACTGGTTTTGCAGTTGCCGATGATCGGATCCTTGACACATAAACTTTCATCAGTTTTAAACTAATATAGTGGGGTATGCACTGGGCAGAGTTGAATTTCCACATCATAGAGGGTACAGCTCTGGAGAACATTGTCCGGCAATGGTAAATTAATAGCAACGTGAGAGGCAATAGGGTGGCCATGATTTCGTTATTCCCTTTCGGAATTGGTATAATTTTATAATCATCATACATATCTCTATTTACAAGTGGGATTTTAATCTCAAATAACAAATATTCATTTGTAGTTCTTGCTTTTACTTTCATCAGATGATATATCTTTGGTAATTCACTTTGGATGTTATCGACTGGTAGCGATAAATCCTTGGAGATGTGTCCCGTAACGGGACTCCCGTTATTAAATGATGAAACTCAAGTGTCACTGCGCGGTGCGGGTCGCGCTTATTTACGCCAATCGACGCATCCTAGAAAAGTCCCGTTAAATTGAGAATTAACTAAAGAATGCATAGTAACTACCGTAGTAACAAGTGCAGATGTCGTTGCACTTACTCCCTTACGCCGCACTGCATAAGACTCATATTGGAATGAGCCGCACCACTCGAACTTTATCGCGATCTACGGTGTTCTGGTAGATTCATTCTCAAGTATTTTCGCGGTTTTGTTTAGGGAGCGTTTGATACATAATCAATGTTGAAACACAGGTATGCGCCGCGGGTGGTTACTTGTACGCGCTAGGCGGACACGAAGCGCCGGCTAACACGACGGGAGGGCGACTCGCTTGCGTCGAGCGTTACGACCCGGTGGTCGACAGCTGGGTGCTGCTCGCCCGGCTCTCGTACGGCAGGGATGCCATCGGCTCCTGTCTTCTGGGCGACCGGATAGTAGCCGTCGGTAAGAGAACGATCTAACTCAAACACAGCTTACACCGTGGAAGGTTACAACCCGGTGGCCGAGTGCTGGATGCTTCTCGTACGGCAGAGACGCCATCGGCTCCTTTCTCCTCGGCATCCGGATTATAGCCGTCGGTAAGACAACGATCTAACTCAAACACAGCTTACACCGTGGAAGGTTACAACCCGTTGGCCGTAAGCTGGATGCTGCTCGAACGGCTCTTGTGCGGCCGAGGCGCCATCGGCTCCTTTCTCCTCGGCGACCCGATAGTAGCCGTTGGTAAGACAACGATCTAACTCAAACACAGCTTACACCGTGGAAGGTTACAACCCGGTGGCCGACAGCTGGATACTGCTTGTACGGCAGGGACGCCATCGGCTCCTGTCTCCTCGGCGTCCTGATTGTAGCTGTCGGTAAGACAGCGATCTAACTCAAACACAGCTTACAATAGTGTAAGCTGTGTTTGAGTTAGATCGCTGTCACAGCTTACAATAGTGTAAGCTGTGTTTGAGTTAGATCGCTGTCTTGGGTTGTAACCTTCCCTATGGAAGGTGGCTGACAGCTGGGTGCTGCTCGCCCGGCTCCCGTACGGCAAGAACACCATCGGCTTCTGTTGGCATCCCCATGGATTTTGGCATTAATCAACTTCCCACTAACTTAACCTGATCGTCGGTCCACCTGGTGGGGAACCTGCCCACACATCTGCAGGCTTATGTAATTATACTGCGTAAGCAGTCTTTAAATACTAAAGCGCCATTTACACGATGCAATTTCTACATACAAGAGCAATAATTGCATGCAATTAATGAGGCACAATAATTGACTTTCAAGAATTGTAAGCAACTATTTACACGCGGACATAGTAAAAGCAGTACATAGGTTGCATACAATTATTGAATGATCAGTTTTGACAATAAAGAATTGCAAATGTCTTTCGTTTACACCAATACAATTATTGTAAGGAGATTATTGCTTTCAAGTATTGACATGTCTAAACACAGACTTGTACACCATTTATTTGACAGGTGCTTCAAGATTGGACGTATTTGCGTGGGCGAATATTTCATCCAAGTGTTGAACGTTTTAGATCTGGGTTTGTTTACAATACTATAAGCCAAAAAGTATTAAAATTCGGTTCTGCTGATTTAATAAAGTTCATTGAAATATAAATCGTAATCATGAGTGTTTATGGGACACTGAAATTGTGAATTACAAGAATCGTGATGCACATAAATAAATAAATAAATATTTCCAACACTCACACCAATTAGCCTATCCCCAAAGTAAGGCTTGTGTTATGGGATACTAGGGTAACGGATAGAATACATATTCTGTACATAAATAGGTATATTATTATAGAAAACATATTAAACATCCATGACTAGAGTACAAATGCTCGTATTCATCACACAAACATCTGCCCACACCGGGATTTGAACCCGGGACCTCTCGAATCGGTGACATCATGAAACCCGGCGTACAAACCACTCAGCCACGGAGGTCGTCAAATAATAACATAATGATGCACTACAGCAATTTGCTCAGGAATTTCAAGTTGATGGATTTGGATCTAAGAAATAATAAACATAAGCGTGTGTGCCGTGGAACACTCGGTTGGAACGAAGTTAAAAAAAGGTAAATTTAAAAAATCAAAAAACCCGACTGCTTAATTATACTTCAAATAAAAACTGAAAAGAAAAAAACAAGTCCAGTAGTCTATAATTCTGTTAATAAGGAACAAAGCCACTTTAACAGTCGGGACCCATTAGATATTCAAGAATACATAATATTTTTCAATAATAGATATTCAAGAATACATAATATTTTTCAATAATGGGTCCCGACTGTTAAAGTAGCTTTGTTCCTTATTAACAGAATTATAGACTACTGGACTTGTTTTTTTCTTTTCAGTTTTTATTTGAAGTATAATTAAGCAGTCGGGTTTTTTGATTTTTTAAATTTACCTTTTTTATTTCACACTTTTTAGTTACCTAGTTAGTATCTTAAGACGGTATATACCGTAGTCTTGTTACTTCAGTAAGAGAATTAATATCGCGGGAATTATTAAGTTACTTGCGGTGGTCTAAAAGATTGATTTATTAAGACATATAGAGACTTTACCAGCGGGGTCAAGGCTACAGATGGCCCTTTTTCTGCCCTTTTTCACAAAAATGTGTGAAGTTAAATCAAGTCGTTACATAAATATTTAATGTATGTAAATTTTATAGAAAACTAGCACTTATTCAAAAAGTCATGTTTTGTTTATGTTCTTTTTTTAGTAGTTTAGCAGTAAATATAAAATTCATTTCATCCGTCGACTATTTAATAATATTTTTTTCTTTATTTGAATACATTTTGTCCGAGTGACATGGGCTATATTTATATATTGTACAATGCCGGGGTGGATCACTAGTAACTATAATATAATATTATAGATGCGAAAGTGAGTTTGTTTGTTGCACTTCCGTGCCCTAATAGCTAAATCGATTATAATGAATTCCCCTATAAAAGTAGATAGGAACTTAGTTCTTGGCTACAACATCGCAATACTTATAGGCGTAGGGTGATGAAAGGGGTGATTTACCTATAAAAATCTATATTATTTACTTTGAATTTTGCAGAATTATCGTTTATAATTACAAAACCAATATTATCGCGAGCTGATTAATAAATACAGGGATTCCAATAAGTATGTACCTACTAGCGAAAAATGGATTATTTGTCATTATATTAAGTAAACCTTTTTTGTAACATTAAGTAATATCGAGGACCTCCGTGGCCAAGTGGTTTGAACGCCGGGTTTCATGGTGTCGCCGACTCGAGAGGTCCCGGGTTCGAATCCCGGTGGGGGCAGATGTTTGTGTGATGAATACGAGCATTTGTACTCCAGTCATGGCTGTTTAATATGTATTTCTATATCCGTTACCCTAGTATCCCATAATACAATCCTTACAGTGCTTACTTTGGGGCTGGGCTAATTGGTGTGTGTTAGAATTATTTATTATTTATATCGTTACAAAAAATTTAAAAACAGTATAATTCTGAGTTTTTCATTAAAAATCAATAAAAATACCTATGATGATAATTTATTTTTCATCATTTAATAAGAAGGAACTGTGTCACAGTTATATTGCAAGTACTTCGTATAGGATCAGATACTGCGAATAGCCCATTTTTTTCTTCTTCGCCTAGGTTTTATCTACGTTTATAAACACCATTTTTTTTCTCTTAGTATTCCCGCAATCTAATCTTGCATAGTATACCGCGGTATCACTTTGTCATCGTTGTAACTTTTTAAATATTTGTTGAAATGACATAGTGTAAAAGGCAAAGTTTATCGTTTTTAAATATTAAAAGCGATAAAAGTATTTGTTTTGATAAAAAAAATATTTGTTAATACAAAATGTGCATTTTGAAAATAGATATCAAATAATATTTTAGTTTTGATTCACTATTTTAGCGGTAATGACTTACACATTAAAAATAGATACATGGTGTCACGGACTTCTTTGTAGAACTATTTAAGAGATACATTTTCACTCTACATTACATTCATGTAACTTTTATTGTTTTTGCAGTGCAGGCTAAAATGGCTCGCAGATGGGAAATTTTTTTCCGTCTTATGTAACACTTATTGTTATATTTTGGCCAATTCACTCAATAACTACATATTTTTTTATATATATGTTATTATCATATATGAGCTATATTACTGTCAAGTTTCATTAAAATCCATTCAATATTTTTTAGGTGAAAGAGTAACAAAGATCCATACAAACGTAAGATTGAAATTAAAAGCGCAAGTGGTTAATATTCAACTTTAAAGCGTTGTAGATCCTAAACAATCATATAAAAAGAAAAATGGTGTTAGGAACCTAAACATGATTTTCAATTATCTAGACAGTGATACCCCACTCGACATATTTTGTCAACTTTATTTTTTTACTTCGTCACAATATGGCGCCTTATTGTCCTCATATTGAATTTTAAATTACTATCATATCTTTAGTAGCACTCCCATGATTGAGACAAATCGATTGATGTATGAATCATCAAAATCGGTCCAGGCGTTTGGTCTCTAGTGTGCCACAAAGGAACAAACATACTTAAATATAGACTGTTAAACACATAACCCTGTCTGCGCGTCGCGCTTCGCGCTCTTGCATTGCGCAGCCGGGTAAAAAGAGATTATTTACTTAGAGAGAAAATTATAAAATGGCGAGAGCGTTTTTTTAATCTAGTGTAGGATTTTGTAGATAAAAGACTGTATCACATTTTTTAGCATAATTTCATTCTCACTACACGAAGAATACATTATTTTCTTATAATTTCGAATTTGAGTACCTAATAAACAGATGAACGAATGTGAAATATATTTTGCGCGTTTGTATTTTTTCTTATTATTTCATAGGATTAAAACGCTATCTTGGTCCCTAGGAATTAAAAAGCTATTTTGGTCCCTAGGAATTAAAAAGCTATTTTGGTTCCTTGGGATTAAAACGCTATGTTGGTTCCTGTAAATAGAGAACAAACTTGCTCTTCAAATAGATGTGATAAAAAATATTTCTATAACCCACCAAACCGCTCTGGGCCCGCGTGGAGAGTCATGGCTCAATCTCCCAATTCCTTAAAAAAGGTATCCTATTCACCAATCCGCACTGGGCTCAGCGAGGATCGAAAAGGAACTGTGTTTCAATAAAAAAATTAAGGACGCAGATCATGGGGATAGGAAAAAGATATCATGGGCACCGTTCCGGTACTGATAATGTTTGCAAGTCCAAAATTTCTTTGTATAATTTAATGGATTCTTTTTTACGACGTTTTCTTAATATTTCTTGGCTCAGAAGAGCAGCAACGATTAACACACCATCACTAACTGCACTCATGTTTGCAAATGATACAAGAATTGAATACAAGAATTGCTTAAGAAATTAGTGTATGTGCTGTTTACACTAGGAAAAGTTTTGAAGCAAACTTGTATACCACATCAAGAATGTTATGTACTGATTAGACTATGCAAGGCATTTATTGCTTCTATTTAATTGCATGCAACAGGCAAGAAACTTGTAAATGGCGCTTAAGTCTATGCTTCATGCTAAAATAATACGATTTCATTTATTAATGTTAAAACAAAATAAGTATAATTGTAACATTCATTAATCATGACAGTTATACCTTGAGTCGTGTTTTGTTTAGCGACTACTACCACTGTATTTGTCTCTCTCTCTCTTGCGCAGGCGGTTACGACGGCGTACAATACTTGTGCGTGGTAGAAGTGTACGACTCAGAGGCGAACTGTTGGCGTAAACTGGCGCCCTTGAGCACGGGGCGCGCGGGCGCGGCCGTAGTCTCTGTGCCTTAGCTTAGAGCACTCTTCTGATACCGCCAATACCAGCTGCACACTTTCGTGCTCCACTGTCATCCTTGAGTCGTATTTTGTTCAGCGACTACTGCTGACACTGTTTTTATCTCGCTCTCTTGCGCAGGCGGTTACGACGGCGTACAATACTTGTGCGTGGTAGAAGTGTACGACTCAGAGGCGAACTGTTGGCGTAAACTGGCGCCCTTGAGCACGGGGCGCGCGGGCGCGGCCGTAGTCTCGGTGCCTCAGCCCAGAACACTCTTCTGATACCACCAATACCAGCTGCACACTTTCGTGCTCGCTTGTTATAACACCACGCCAACATTGTGGTATGTATGTTATCTCGTCTGTACGATGGTTAGATTAAAATGTGTGTAAACATGATATCTTACAGCCGGCCTTCTCAGAGGTGTTAATTAATTATTATGATGCTTTATTAAAATTGATGCTGTTACTTTCTGAAAAATGTAATACACTACTTAATGGAGCATTAGATTTGGTATATGTTTCTGAATGCGGCCGTTTATTTCTTATAGATAGTTTCCGTACTTTGTCTACTTACCTACTTACATATTTATTTAACAAAGAGCAAGTGCCTTTTTAATTTAATGAAATCACATGATCTCATTTTCTTTTACAGATTTTTTTGCGGTCGTCAAATTGCCAAAAAATCCGTGAGCATTCTTGAAATATGATCTCATTAACTCGAAAAGGAATTCTGGAAATATGTCTGTCTGATGGTAGTGTCATAGAAATTTTATTTTATTAATTTACGACGTAGTCTGCTAGTGTAATTATTGTTTCGATGTACTCCCTTAGATATAGCGTATATAATCGTCCTATTTTGACCTGAGAGAATGAAGTCCCCCTACTTTTAATACCTACATACATTATACACAAGAGATGGCCAACATGATTAGACATAAGATCTAATATTTAACGACGAAAGTCGGCACGATCTCTCAATTACTTATGTATTTTTTTTAATGTTCTATTTTGCATCTTTAGAGCTTCGTTCGATCGATCTCGGTAGCTCGGTAGCATATTTATTAGTGGTGGTCACCCGGATAGCTAAAGGCCCCAGTCCGAATCCTGTCCGATATAATTTTGTTTATTTATTTTGTCAAGAGGATTGACTACTATAGTAATTTATATTATTATATTATTAACGGGGTTTGCTACCATATTCGTTTTTTTTATACGTGTCCCGATATTTTAGCAATCCCGTTAATAACAAGTTATTATAGTGTTACTTACTCCATTGAAGTTTAATTCGATTCAAAACTATTCTCAGTAACTACATATTCATAAGTGCGAGCTTTCCATTGGTATTAAACTTTTTTTATTTTGCAATTTAGATCAACAATGTTCAATGCCTTGCTACCAACGCTATTAAATAACCTTAAATAATTTCTTGGTGTGTTTAATGTTATCGTAATGAAAGAGCATGAAAATGCATTACTTACATGTAATCTGTAGATCTGAAAAATTATTCGGCACAAAAAAAAACTAGAAATGTCAGCATTTTTATGTTATCTGTGTAGAATATTTGTAAATGTATAAATGTAATTCATTCATTACAGTGACAATTGAACAAAATTATATAACTGGTTTAAAATTATTGGTCTTATTTTAAGCATTAAACTGCTAGATTCATATCTAAAGATTAATAAATTTGATCTAATGATATGACTAGAAGTTTAATGCTTAAAATAAGATCAATAATTTACATAAAATCGGCCCGTTTGTTTTCGTATTTTTTATTTATTTATAAATATAGCAATTTAATTCTTAAGGGCCACTTGCACCAAAAGGGTAATACCCAAAATAGGCTCAACGTGGACAAGGTGCTTGGCAAAAAATCATTTTACAATATTATTTTATTTATTTTTTAACCAATTTCTATAACCGTAATATAATGGAGAGTTTCATTAATAATACAATAAAATTAAATAATAAAAAATACGGTCTCTTCCTTCCAATAGATATATATCTAATGTCACATAGTCGAAAACAGCTGTAATTGGTCGAATTTAAGTTAGCATCACGTCATGTCAGCAAAAACGGCTATGATAAGCCAAAATTAACGTAAGCATCACGTCATTTCAGCGAAAACGGCTAGGATTGGTGGGATCTACTATGACATGTGCAGACAGTGATCTAAACCTAGGGTGCGGCCAGAGTGCACTCAGATTCAGATTCCGAAAACAAGCGCGAGAAATAAACAGTGTAGTCTTAACAGGTTGCCTGCTTTTTCTCGCGCTTTGTTTTCTGAGTCTGAATCTGAATCAGGAGTGCACTCTGGCCGTACCCTTCGACTACACTGTTTATTTCTCGCGCTTGTTTTCGGAATCTGAATCTGAATCTGAGTGCACTCTGGCCGTACCCCTACGCTCCAGGTGTAACAAATGTCAAATTCGATAGAAGTTTCATACATTTATGTCAAAATTGAAATGTCAGTATGCAAAAGATCACTTGGACCCTAGGTTTGGAATGCACCCAAGCTGTCAAACGAACACTGCGTTTCTTCGTTTAGACATTTAGTATTATCCATGTGACGTCACATGCCATATTACGCAATATTCATTTTTCGCGGCATATTTATAGAATAGATGTTTATTTTCAATTTTATTTATCCAGTGTCTAGACATCGTATTGGTAATATAATGACTTCAAATATTATAGATCGCGAAAATGACTTCTTTGTGCTTATTTTACCTTTTTACATTGAGGTGTTAAAAATTGTTTTAAAGGATACTTATACAAAATTATAACGATTCAAAGGTTCTTGGGAGTTAAAGCTTCTTGCATTGTATAGTTTTAATTGTTAAAAAAAATAAAAAAATTAGCATCTGTCCATGTTAAGCCAAATTCTCATACAAAGTGGGCATTGCCCTATGCTGCAAAGTACCCGAACAAGGCGAAACGTTATGGCGGCATTCCACATAGCTATTCGCGTTTATTGTATATAAACTTGACAACTGTCTCCTTTTCATTCCCTATTTAAGAAGACAAGGATGTATTGTTGTAAAATTTACAAATAGCAAATGTGATTGCCTGCATTACGTTCTACCTTATAGAGGTATTTACTAAACGTCTTGTTTATTCTATGCAAGCTCAAATATTTTTTATACAAAAGGGCGTTTAGATTATATAACTTTACTAGCTGACTCGGCGAACTTCGTACCGCCCAAAAGTAATAATTTGCAATAAATTAAAATTGCGACTATAATTTGAGATTTAAACTATCCTATCTCTCAAGTTGGATCGAACTGCACATGGTGTGCGAATTTTATTATAATCGGTTCAGTGGTTTAGGAGTCCATTGAGGACAAACATTGTGACACGAGATTTATATATATTAAGATAACAACACCAAATTGCCCTCACTTGACTTAGAGCATTTCAAACGACAGGGGCTTATTTACCCTAGGGCCAAAAGGCTCAGTTACAAGCATTCGGTCATGACTCATGACCTAAGTATATTCTGATATGATTTACTAACTCTGGGGAGGGAGAGGAGGGTGCAAATCATGAGTGGCTAGATTTTAAAATACACCCCTGTCAATGCTCTTAGACTAAGTTATTTTCTTACATCTTACATTGTAATTAGTAAAATAATGATAACGCTGATGTTTACATGACACTTTTTAATTTTCTACAAAAACAGTATTAATTTACATTTGTATTGTTTAGTCTTTAGTTGAGTGCTATTTTATACAGATTATTATGTACTATTCCGTGTGTAAGTATGTGATGTTGTATTTTGTGGGCACTACTCTGTGATGTTTTTTATTAGACTATCGCTAGGAAATGAAAACTTGTAGGTATTTTTTGAATATTAATTCTGTTTATTATAAAATAATATAAACTAGTGTTTACTTATTTTTATATTGTTTATAGTGTACTGATTGTGGTCTTATATCGTAGGTATGATTCTAATAAAATGCAATTAATTTTATACTTGGCAGTAATTTCTATTTGCTCTAGTTTATTTTTGTTTTATTTACAACTTGATCAAATCCATACACTTCGGAGAAAGAAATTTTGTACAGTAGAAGAAACTCGACCGGATTATTAATTTCTCGGTAGCATAGCTGCTGATGCATACGCAAGACAAGTTTAAATCCTGCCTGAGCCTGACATCTAGACGGAGTTGAATTTATTGTAGTATTTTTTTAAATGTATAATTCAAGCAGATTAAGACCCAATTAATATCGCCGCGGAATGGAATGACATGTAAGCAAAATTTGCAACGAAATTGTGCATAGCATAATGAACTTTATGCCAATTGTATACAGTGCCTGATTCAGAGTTCCGATCACACTAGGCTAACTATGAGTATGCGCCCCGCCCCGTCCTGCCTGTCCTGTCCTAGCTTTTCATTCACATACAAATACAACTAATAAATAACAAGTACAGAATAGAGTTCGTAATCTAACATCATGGAATCAAAGTGGCATATTAAAGTAAGTGCTCCGATGTTATGTTAGAGTACAGGATTCTCGAGATGGCAAATACAGTTTCGGGAGACCTGTCTAGTGACAGAAAGCCAAAATACTGGACAGAACCGACTGTCTCAAGGGTGAACGGAGTTAACGGGTGTAGCAAGACTACGTGGGTTTTTAACCGAGTTGACGCGTATATTCGTTATTTTTTATGTATGACGCATAATTTTACAGAGTAGTCCGATTTTGAAAATTCTATTTTGATTGTAAAAGGGTATACCCCGAAGTTAGTCCCATATGAATAAAAAATAAATCAACTTAGGGCTAGAGGGCAGGAGACGATTGATTGTTCACTCACAGATTTAGATGCCAAGTTGTATAACATAAAAATTATAGCCAAAAAAATTGTAAAATAAAAAATATTAAACCTTTTTTTATCTTTAGTTAAATTAATATTTGGAGTCGGTGACATGCAGGTCTGATAGATCCGAGTTCCCATTTACTACTTGGGTTGGCCTAACGGTAGTTTTCCAATTACAGCACTAGAGCGCATTATGCGACATAATGCTTAACGTTGAATGTTTCAACTACAGCAACGCTTCGCACAAGCGAGCACTCTCAAATGTAATGTTTTCTACGTGTGATGCGTGCAATCGTACCAACTCAGTGACAGAAAATTAACAAGTGTTTTTTCTTTAAGTTAGCATTGATCGAAATGTTTTATTTATTTATTATCATTAGTAATATTATTTATCGTTGAAAATTTTTTAAAGTTTTCGTTTCATTGTAGTTTTTTTTTTAAATAATCAAAGTTAATTCTGTGTTATAAATATAAATATGGATGAAGGTATAAACACTGACTTTTTTTTTAAACACTGAACTAAGCGCACTCTGCTGGTGCATGGAAACTAATTCACGTTCCAATTAATTATCAGCATAATCCGGCATTGTGCGCCACTGAGTCGCATTGTGCTCTGTAATTGGAAAACTACCAACGTGCACACGCACTAGGTCTCGTTGACTTTTATTAAAAAAAAAATGATGGAGGGATAATTCAAATGTACCTAATCGAGTTTATATAAGAATTGAGCCTTATTTTATCTACATGCATATTTCCTATTGCTATTTCTACATTTTTCAAATGTTATAATATTTCTAAAAGTATTTCGTTTGGCGTTATGGTTCACCGACAATGCCAAGAAATAGAATTGCACCTAAAGAAATACTAGAAGACATTGGAGACGATCATCAAGGTTAGTGCATACGCCGCGCCGGGGCAGCGGATGCCGCCGGTTCAAATCCCACCTGCTTCCAAGCTAAGTAGAATTATAATAATAATATAAATAACATCACATCGATTCAGCAATTGTTGTGCCGATAATCATATCTGGCCATGGTTTGATAGCCAAGAGCCTCAATAAACACCTTAAGAGGCTCGCGTTAGGTGGTTGGGTCAAGAGTCAGATGCAGAAGGCAGTACTTCTGGACACGGCCCGTATAGTGAGGAGGTTCCTGACTCTGGACCCTTAACCACCGGTACCAGGGACCCAGATCTTGCTGCCGATGGGGAACTACATTTTTGTATTTTTAAATGCTATACACTGTAAAAAAATAATATTTTGAAATATAATTTTGTAAATGAGATAAAAGATATAATAATAATTACTTATTTTCTCCCAAAACTTAACAAAAATACAGACTTAGGACTAAAATGTAGACTTAATTGTTTGTACTATAATACATTACGTTCTTCAGATTTACATATACAGAGTGTTTCTTTTAAGGTGTCAAGCCGGTGTTAGGTGATAACTGAGTACCATACCCATCAATTTGACCCCCATGTATGTTTTGCGATTTTTTGTAGTTTTAGGGTTATAATTTTTTTTTTTCATTATTTTTTAGGATTAAGCGACTGAACGGCTTAAAAAATTAGAACTTTTTTTACTTAACTTTTTTTTCTAGTACAATGCCTATTGCTTGTAGTTTTATGAGTAAGTAAAATAATCTCATTCCTAACTTTGCTACAAAATACAAGATCATTAGTAAAAAGATTGGGATCAAGCTGAACAGAATAGAATCTTCAACATTATAAAATATATATTTTAGAGATCTTCCTGCGGGCCATTCGCCTAACGGAAATGCTTTGGAAAACGCTAACGCTTACGATTTCATTTTGTTATTTCTAGCCGCCTGAGGTTTTCAAATGCCTCGCGCTCTGTTTTTTCTTTTGCATTGGTATAACAATATTAAAGAAAATGAGCGTGAGGTGATGAAAACCTTCGGCGATCAGAAATAACAATATGAAATTGAAAGTGTTAGCGTTTTCCAAAGCATTTCTTTTAGGCGAATGGCCCCCTGATCTCCTAACTAATTTTAAAAACTGCGCTATATCCTAAGCTTTCAAAGAAATACAAGGGATTCATAAATATATAGTACAGTCAATCTGTCGAAAAAAATATCGTTTCAGTGAAAAAAAAACCTAAAGGGTAAGTCTTGTTTTTTCTGTTGCCAAATGACGTCAGTAAGCCACCTTGGCGATGGGCATGTTCAACTCGTAGGCGTTTTTTGAAAAACTCAAAAAAACCGTCAAAAATTTTTAAAACGCATTTTTCTTGTTTTGTGTGCATTTTAGAAACTTTTTTTTCGACCATAATTGTAGAGGGCGTTGAGTGCTACAATTTATGTCATTGTTGCAATCTCGTACAACAAAAAATGCGCATTGTAGGTGGCGCTAAAGTCTCAAAAATTGGTTTTTCACTTTTTCACCCTGAAAATATCATTTTAATGGAAAACTTTAAATGGCAAAGTTGTTTCGTACATAATTACCAACAACT